CTCATCGAGACAAAGCATCTCGAGGTTAACTCACCGGATGGCAGCGGTGTACCACCGACCGGGCGGGAAACAGAGGCGGAACTCTCCTCCTCTTGGTGAACGGATTTGAGCGAAGCAGCCATAACTATGGTGAAGCAAGGGAAGGGATATGAAAACTTAGGCGAAAGCTTTGAATTAAAATGGTGAAAGAAATGATGCAAGGAAGGAGAGCTCTACAAAAAGGATAGTTGCACAAAGTAGCAGAAGCCTCAAATAAGGAGACAGCAAGTACCTATATAGAGCAAGCGGCGACTGTTCGCCTACCCTGAAGGCCAATTAATTCTGGCCATGCCATTACCACTTTTGGGGAAGTGTATTAGTGGGACCATCCTGGTCACTTCGCGGTCATGTCATACGAATGACATTTTCATACAGCGTTCGAGAGCCATCGAGATCCCCACATCGATCGAGCCTCGAGATGGTGCCCGATCTCGAGGATCTCTGTTATCACAAGTATAGGTTCTAGAAGAGCTATCAACCTATCCTCGAGATGGTGCCCTATCTCGAGGATCCCGGTTACTCCAAGTATGAGCTCCAAAGAGCCGACATCAAAATTCAAAGATTAACTTTGCATAAGCACTGAAAAACAAAATTTGAAGACTTGAAGCAGAGGAATCTTTTTGCATTCCCNAACGTTACGTAAGGTACACGAGGAAGACTTTTAGTTCTATCCTAAACTAACAATTACTACAGGTAGGCGTTCTAAGACCCCACCCCCCCCCCCCCGAGGAATCCATATACAAAAAGAAAGAAAAGAAGAAGCGGAGATGACAACGCGAGTCTACTCTTCACCTTCACTGCTGTCTGAATCACTTCCGGTGCCCTCATCCAAAGTAGTTGAAGATGCTGATTCTTCTTTATCGGCTCTGGCTTTCTTGATCTTAGCAGAGAGATCGACACCTTCGGCTCTTGCTTCCTCGAAGGCCTGCCTCCTAGCTTGCAAACAAGCGCAAGCAACAGCCCGAGCCAGCTTCTGCTCGGCTTTCTCAAATATCTCTCTGGCTCGATTGTTTGCGGTAGCGACATCTCTCTTGTATGAAGATGCTTTTTCATCAGCCTCAGACTTGGCCACAGATAATGCAGCGTCCTCCTTCTGAGCACTTCGAAGAAGATCCTGGGTCGAGGCCAACTCTCCCCGCAAAAGGTCTTTCTCCGAGGTCACGGCCTCATTCTGCCTCCTCAGCTCGAGGATCTCCGTATATCCTTGGCTGCAACCTCTTCCTGAAGTCGCCCCACTAGGGTATTCTTTTGCCCAATCTGCAAAAACGAATCAAGATAGTGAGCTTCAAGTTATTAGAATAAAAAGATGAACTCATGAATGTCGTGTTACCTGCTCAGCAAAGCTAGTCCGTTCCTGTTGCACTCTCTCCCGACTCGCCCGAAGCTCACTCAACTCCTCTTCCTTTCGGGCAGAGGAAGCCTTCGACTCTTTTAGCTTCGAGGTGAGCTTCTCGAGCTCCTCCTCGCGGCATGAAAGCTCATCTTGAAGCTTGGAAAAGACGTGGTCATACAGCTTCTTGACCTACAACATAGCAGAGAAGTTAAAAAGGCAAGGGTAAAAAAATTTAAAGCGCAAATGGTATGTCGAGAATGTCACCTGCTTTTGAACCTTCTCAGCCTCCTCGAGAGCGACGGGGGCATCGAGATCTGTGTCCACGTCGATACCGATGAAGTAGTCCTTGAACATATCATCCTCTCCCTGAGAGGCCCCCACATCGGTAGCGCCCGTGTTCTGGGCATCCCTTATTTTCCCCGGAGAAAATGAAGGGCCCAATTCAAAGCCACTCACAGTATCAATTTCTCTAAGGGTTTCTTCTCGATCCTGAAAAATTTCAGATTCAGGCCCTCCAAAATCGCCAGCCGAGGATTTGCCAGCACGGATTGTACCATGTCCAACTTGAGGCTCGGGGACTGCGCCCAAGCCCTCCTCGAAGGTCTCTTCAGCACGAGTTTGGTCCACATCGGCCACCCCCGACTCGGCGGCCTTCCGAACAACGGCTTGTGGAGCATCAACACTCCATCTCACCCTTTGTACCAAAGGGCAGTCGCCGTTATCATCATCTTCATGAAGACTTGCCACAACAATCGAAGTCAAGATCACGACGTCGGTTTTAGGCTTGCAGACCTTGGGTTTCTTTGATTCTTGAGACTCGCTCGACGCCTCCTTCTTCCTCTTCTTACCCTTGTCGGGCTTCGAGGCTTCTCCTTCACCAGGGGGAGCCAGTCTCATCGATGCGCCTTCCCCGAGGCCTACACAGGCATGATGTATTAAACTTACCGCCACAAAGAATACTCATAAGGAACTTGGTAACGACAACAACGAAAGCATACCGTGGTTCTTGGCCTGCCACCGCGATTTGGTCAAATCACGCCATACACGCTCGCTGTAAGGAAAAGTGGAGTCTAATTATTTAATCCACCCCGGAAGCTTATGAACCGCCTCCCTGTAGGGGCAACAAAATGTGCTCGAAGTAGGGACACTTACGCTTCATGTTCCATTCCTCCAGGAATGGCATCCTATCAGCAGGGATGATGTCCGAGGTTCTTACTCTGACAAACCAGCTCATCCATCCCCGGTCTTTGTCTTCATCGATGCTCGCAGAGAATGTCTTGGCGAATCGAGGGTGAAGCTTGATTAAACCTCGGAAGAGGGGGTGGCTGTACAGTCTGACCAAGTGATCGAGGGTGAAGGTCATTCCCTCGACCATGTTAGAGAAATATCTGATCATGTAAGCAATCCTCCAGAAAGAAGGATAGATCTGAACGAGTGTCACTCGGTACTCACGACAAAAGTCAAGAATCACTGGATCTATCGACGGTGAAGAAGAATCTACGGGGCCTATAGTGAAGGGGTATGTGTATACACTGAGGAAGCCAACTTTATGATCTATTATGCTCTCATTAGCTTTGGGGATCTCTACTTGTACCGCCTCTCCCCCATCGGCAGTCTGTCTTTACTCTCTTCGTGTCGGTCACAACACTGATATACCGAGACACGGGCTCGCATCGGCCCGGTGTAGAAGGGGGATTTTCAATGGTAAAATCGGACACTGTATCGAAGTGGCCAGGGGTACATTGCTCGATACTTGGAGGTATTTTTGGTTTGCCCTTAGACAGACGTGATGAAGAAATGGTACCCTCTTTCTGAGGTAGCGTTTTGGAAGTTTTAGCCATAACTATAACAAAGTTTCTGAGAAAGAAGATGAAGAGGCAAGCACAGAGAAGAGATGAATGTAGAAGGTGGTGAACTTAGCTCTGAAAACTTGAAGATATTGTAAAAGTGTGAATGACAAACAATTGAGGTATTTATAGAAGTCGTTTGGGCAACGATTGAGAAGCGGAAGAGTCGAACAAATAACATTTTGTGGGCTTCTCGATGGCTATGTTCCCGAGGGTTCCCTATGTTCGACGTCGTGGCAGTGCAAATCGATGGCTACGATGGACAAGCGGAAAATTCCCAAAACACATGGTTAGAGCTGACCAGGTCTACAAGAATAGTACAAGTTCGTACCGTGACATTAAATGGATGTACCAGCCGCATATCTTTGTAATAAATGATTGTACCAGCCGCGTATCTTTGTAATAAATGCACCTGTACTTTGTTGGGATTCCCCCTCCTATATAAAGGGGACTCTTGTTATTTCTTGCACAGAGGATATTCAATACAAGAACAAGAACATTCTCTGCTTTCTAACTTAAACATGCTCCATTGTCTCTCCTTTGAATTTATTGCGTACATTTATTGTGTTCCATAGATTGTTCTTCATTTATTATTCATCATTGGTCATAAAGAGCCACCATCAAGGCTCTCAGAACTGTTAGTTCTTCATCGACCGTCCCCAGTCGGACGCTTTAGCTTGACCTCGAGGCTCAACCTAGGCCAGCTCGAGGCCCCGATTCACCGCCATTCGGTGTGAATAACAACACTGCCTTTCGCTCTTACTTTACTTTTCTAGCTCACATTTAACATCTATCACCTATCAACTAGCATTAAAATAAATCACGTATTTTTAGAACCACAAAATTAAATTTAATTGTAATTCCCATTTTCAAGGTAAACAAATATAGTGATGTTACATTGTTATGTGTTGATTACTTAAAGAACTTTTTATCTTTAGTTACTCTTATCCATACATTGCTAATGCACATATTTTTATAAAGAATTAATCTAAATAATCGTTCGCTCAACTACTTTTATATATATATATATATATATATATATATATATATATAATTTATATATATCGGCTAAAAAATAAATAATAAAACGACCAATTACATGGGTAAAGATCTTTTTTTTTCACATTCAAAATCACACAAAATAATGCACATATTCTCACACTAAGTTGTCATTATTAATGCGGAGTTTAGTAATGCAAATTAAACGTTGTAATAAGTTTACAATTATACTTTTTTTCTCGTATACCAAACTAAACTTAGAATAATTACTTACGTAAAACTTTATGCTAATATTATTTTTATTAATGCGGAAAATAGAACGATCATAGAGTAACCTTAACAAAATTAAAAAAAGCTAATTACGTAAAATCTTAAAAAAGCTATCCACAACCACCGAACCGAATACCCCTTTACCATTCATAAAGTAACCTTAACACAATTAAAAAGTCACCGATCGTCTTAAATTTTTCTCTCAAATATTTTAATTGTCTCTATCAAACATTACAATTTCCTATCTATAAGAGCATATAAATAGAGGTGGTTGCGTGCCACTTACCTACCTATATATAACTATCTCGATTGTGATTTGTGTGTGTCAGTGTCACCTTCTTCTTAATAACGACAACAGTCATACCAAATACTATGTCTAGTGGTTCAATCCACCATTCAACATCGAAACAAAAAGAATCCCTTTCAAAATTTTAAAAAGTATTGCATCTAAATCCATACATTTTTTTTAATAGTGTATATAAATATACTTCAAATGCATGCATTGCTAAAGTAGTCCCCACTTCCCCACCACCATCCTTCACCCTTCCCAAGTAGTAGTAACTCAGAAGCCCAACTTTTTTTTTCTCCACAATAATCATTTGAAAGGCAGAGTAATGACTTATAAAAGCTCCACGCTCTGCTAAAATAGGCCGGCTTTATTTGTACCCCACCCAATAGTATTCTTGACTTACAAAGAAGAAACGAACATTTTTCTAGTCTCTGTCGCCTGCAAACTTATAACTCTAACCTTCCATTTGTCTCCTTCTTTATAACTGTTCCTCTTTCAAGTATTCTATATTGACGACAGGACTCAACCTTTCACTAACAAAAAAAAAAAATGGAAAGAAAAATTGTGAAGGAAAGCGAAGAGATTGTTCTTCTCAAAGAACAAGAAGAGGAATTAGGAGAAGATGAAGAAGAAGAAGCATTATCTCTATGTGATCTTCCAAACAATGAAGAGAATCAAACGAAGAAAGAAGCTTCTGGGGTTAGTGAATTAGCCCAAGAAGACTTTGATTTTGGAGGTACTTTGTTCAAAGAGTCAGAAATGTGTACGGCAGATGAAGTTTTTTACCAAGGCCAAATCTTGCCATTACGTCATTCAATTAGTTTGCCAAATGATAGCCGTAATAGTAGTACGATTCGGTTCATGTCAAGGTCAGAATCTATGGAGGAACATTGTCACGACACAAATTCAAGCAGTAGAAGTAGCAGTATACGAAGCCAACGTTCATCTAGCAGTGGTATTTCTTCAAATATTAGCACTCCAATATGTACCAAATACAAGCCTAGGATTCGAAATCAATTCCATTCACATCCTAGTCCAACACCCCAGGTTCGAATTACAAAGGTTGTTCAATCAAACGTTAATAATTCAAGTCGAAAATCGACACTGTGGAGTCTTTTCCGTGTTGGTCTAGTCACAACACCGGAAATTGCATTACAAGATCTTAAAAGTCGAAGCAACAAGGATTATTCGGGAAGTAGAAATAGTACGAGTAGCAGCAGCAGCAGCGGCATGAGTAATTATGACAATAAGATGAAATCAATTATACTAAGCAAGAAAAAGAAACAGAGGTTTTTTCTTGGTAGCTGCAAATGTTCAGCAAATGCAGTAGAAACAGTTCCTTCAAATGTTCTGAACATGAACAAGAACAGGAACAGTATAATTACGAAAACAAGAAAGGCGACAGAGGTCAACGAACATGAAGATAGGAAGGATGTAACAGAGAACATGAAAGTGACAAAAAAGCAATCAATGTCACGTCATCGAACATTTGAATGGTTAAAGCAACTTTCACTTGAAGGTTCAGGTGATGAAACATAAAGATTTCAAAGTGTTACGCATGCTTAGTTTGGTATTATTATACTATCTTTTTTCCCCTTCTTTATTGATGTAATGTAACTTTATTATTACGTGCTTAATTAGATTGGGTTTTTTGTTGATTTTGAGTAGTGGAATGATTGAAGTAATTGAGGACACAATTGTAATGTAAGAAAGAGCTAAAACTAAGATGTTAGATGTGAATTGTGATTAAATAATGACCCTTCTTTTTTTATTTCTTTTTTCTACTTGTGTAAATTAATAATTGAAGAAGAGAACAGTAAATGAGTGGAAAGCTGTGAGTGTTGTGAATAGAGGTGGGAATTTTGTGGCGTGGATGATGTTATTGCTAGTCATGATTAAAGTGTGAACTTTTATGAAATCCTTTACTACTTTAGGGAATTTTTATCTCCATTCTTTTGGTCTATTTCAAAATTTTCTTCAACCACGAGACTGATATAAAAGTACTTGGGTATGGATAAACCATAGATGTCAAGTTTGGTATCCAAGAACACATGATAATATTTAATTCACGTAACTTTTCCATATTGTAATTTATTTTGAAAATATAAATGTATACGGTAAAATCGGAGGGTTCAATTTTCGGCTATTACAACGCCTCGTGAGCAAGGTTTCCAAAGGCCCGAGACTATGGCCGAGATTTGTCCCGAGGAGCCATCAGTGTCCAACCTCGAGGCAGCCCAAGTCAACGGTTATGGTAGAACAGTGGGAAGTTCCCTAGGCGCACGACTAGGGCTGACAAAACCTAAAGGGCTATCTCTGACCCGTATCAGGGCATTGAGTAGCTATACCTGCCCCATATCTTTGTAATTAATGCTTTTGTACTATGTTCCCCTCATATATAAAGGGGAACTCCTTGTCATTTATAGATATCTATTGCTCAATACTAAAAAACGCACGAACATTCTGTTTTCTCTCTAACATATTATCTTGATTTCATTACTTCATTTATTGCTTATATTCATTGTGTTCTATTTATTGTTCTTCATTTATTGCTTATCATTGATCATAAAGGGCCATCATCATAGCTCTCATAACTGTTATCCCCCTCTCGACTGCCCCGAATCGGCCATCCAGCTCGACCCCGAGGCCTTACAATCGATAGCTTGAGACCCCCGATCTCAACTGTTTGGTTCGACTATCATACCGTTTATAAGCTATAATCCTTATTTCTAACCTTTTACTTAGCATCTATCGCTTTACAACTAGCATAAAAATATATCACGTATTTTTAGAACCTCATAATCAAATTTAATTGTTACTACCATTTTTACGGTAAACAGTTTGGCGCCCACCGTGGGGCTAAAAATAATAGTGATTATTTTCTTGCTAGTTTTACTACATAAACCAAGTTATCTTTCACGTTTTTTCTTGTCCAAAATCTTCGATTTCAAGTCGAAATGTCTAACTCAGTAAATGGAGGTAAAAACAACAATCTTGAGGACCACGGAGAGAATGGTGTGAATGTTCCAGGTGTTGGTGTACCACCACGAAACCATGGGAACGCGCCAGAACCAATTCCAGTGGTCTCGCGCGAGGCCCAACACGTCGATATAAGCTCCCACGCCAACAGGAGCGTACATCAAGGAGACCAACAAGAAGCTCAGAAAACCCCACCTAGGGAAGAACGGGAGGTTAGCCTTCACGTTATTTTTGAAATGTTTCAGGCACAACAGCTGGCTATTGCTCAGCTGCAAAGTCACCAGAAAACTCCTAGCACGGTAGCACCGGGGACGGCTCCCCCAGCCGAGCAGGTACCAAAGAGATCAAGCAACAACGGGTCGGCAGCCGACCCCGCCATCGTAAAGATGCTCGAGGACCTCACGAGGAGGATCGAATCGGGCGAGAAGAAGATAGAGGCCAACGACAAGAAGGTCGAGACCTACAACTCCAGGGTCGACCAAATTTCGGGCACCCCCGATCTTGAAAGGTGTGGATTCAAAGAAGTTCATACAGAAGCCGTTCCCACAGGAAGCGGCCCCGAAACCCATTCCAAAGAGGTTCAGAATGCCAGATCTTCCGAAGTATAACGGAACCTCCGACCCCAATGAGCACGTTACCGCTTACACTTGTGCAGTGAAAGGCAATGACCTAAAGGACGACGAGATCGAGTCCGTCTTACTGAAGAAGTTCGGGGAAACACTTTCTAAAGGGGCAATGATGTGGTATCACAACCTGGCCCCAAACTCGATTGATTCATTTGCCATGCTGGTGGATTCTTTCATTAAGGCACATGCTGGTGCCGTCAAAGTAGCAACAAGGAAATCCGACGTCTTCAAGATTAAGCAGAGGGAGAATGAGATGCTGCGAGAGTTCGTATCTCGCTTTCAAATGGAACGAATGGAACTACCACCAGTCTCCGACGACTGGGCAGTGCAGGCCTTCACTCAAGGTCTGAATGAACGAAGCTCGGTGGCTTCGAAGCAGCTGAAATAGAATCTGGTTGAATATCCCGTCGTGACCTGGTCGGACGTTCACAACCGATATCAGTCGAAAATCAGGGTCGAGGATGACCAACAAGGAGCCCCCTCGGGCTCGGTATACCCAAGCAGGCTTCTGGCGAAGGAGCCAAAGCCAAACAAAGAAAGGTACCAACCATACACCGAAGACAGGAGAAACGCCTCGAGGCACAACATACCCCGCAATGATCGAAGGATGGATGGAGGATAGAATCCTCGGGGAGTCGTCAACAGAGCTGGATTCGATAGGCACACAGGGCCAACGGAGGCGCCTCGCTTGTCGGAATACAACTTCAACATCGATATAGCAGACATCGTGTTCGCCATCAATAAAATCAGAGACGCCAGGTGGCCCAGGCCTGTACAATCGGATCCTTCGCAAAGAAATCATAACTTAGTGTGTGAATTTCACAACACGCACGGCCACAGGACCGAGGATTGCCACCAACTCCGAGAAAAAGTAGCCAGACTACTCAGTAAAGGTCACCTCCGAGAATTCCTATGCGATCGAGCCAATAACCAGTTCCGGGAAAGAGAGGCGGCCATGAAGAACGAAATGAATGAGCCACAACATGTCATCCACATGATCTTGGGAGGCATCGATTCCACACAAGAGCCCATGATGAGAAGAACAAAAATATCCATCACCAGAGAAAAGCGAACTCGGGGTTACATACCCGAGGATGCTCTCACATTCAGCGACGAGGACATTGAGACCTTGTCTCAGCCTCACAATGACGCACTGGTAATCTCTTTCCTTGTAAATAAATTTAAAATTAAACGTGTAATTGTGGATCCAAGTAGCTCGGCCAACATTATCAGGCCGAGGGCGATAGAGCAGCTTGGACTGCTTGACCAAAATCGTACCCGCCTCTCGAGTCCTCAACGGATTCAATATGGAAAGTGAAACAACGAAAGGGGAAATCATCAACGGATTCAACATGGCAAGCGAAACAACAAAAGGGGAAATCACCTCCCAGTCAACGTGGCTGGCACAACCCAAAATGCCAAATTCCATGTCATCGAAGGAGACATGAGGTACAACGCCTTGCTCGGAAGGCCATGGATACACTGCATGAGAGCAGTACCATCCACCCTCCATCAAATGATGAAATTCCCGACAAAGGATGGGATTAAAACCATCTACGGGGAACAGCATGCGGCAAGAGTAATGTTCGTAGTGCACGATGTAACGCCGACACCAGTACCTCCACCTCGAAGGAGACAAAGGGTAATCAAACAGTAAAATAGCGATAGAAAACTACATCTTCGGTTAAGCCCGACAAAACAAAGCAGAAGACCGTACCGCATCCTCATCACAAGCGAATGAAATATATCAGGGCTCAAAACATTGCCGACACATTCTCCACTAAGGTATGACCGTCTCCCTTTTCATTCAATTACACTCTACACTAACCTGAGTGCAGCTATCTGATCAAAACGGTCGAAGCACTTCCCAACTTGAAGGCCTTAGGTTTCAAAAACATGCTTTGCACTCTTTTCCTTCGACCGGGTTTTTATCCCAAGAAGGGTTTTACCGGCAAGGTTTTTAACGAGGTAGCACCCATATGCTACCTAAGGAAGACTCAACGAGTATTCAAGGCTTCTTTTGCATTCGACCTCGAATACTGGGGGGCATCCCCTCGGAAGGCCACCTACTCGGAAAAGCTAAGATACGCCAAATGGGGTCTCGATAGGAAAATGATGTACGGGCCAAAAGGTCGAACAAACCGTGTCCGTATAGAATAGCCAGGCCCCTGACAGCGAAAACATGAATACTTGTACCAAGTAATCGAAGAATACTTTCCATCAAAGCATTTCACGCTTCAAAAGAAACTGGACATTTCTGTAAAAATGGCTCCTCTGTCAAAACCGTCCCGAATACTCGGGGACTAGCGTCAACAACTTGGAACAATGCGACCCCCGGGTCGGAGCTCCTAACTCGTAAGCCCTCAAAGAGGCAACGCCAAGATCACAGAACAGCTCTAGAGCCAAAAACGTCCCGAACACTCGGGGACTGGCATCAAAAACTCAAGGCCACATGACCTCCAGGTCAGAAGCCCCGAAATCATAAGCCTTCAATGAGGCAATACCAAGTTTACAAGTAATGGTTCCCGAGCCAAGAAACCCTCGATGTCTCGGGGACTGTCGCCAATGGCCACTTATCAAAAACCCGAGGCCATAAGACTCCAAGCGGGCAAACTCGATCTCGTAAGACCTATATAAGGAAACAACAATATCTGTAAGACCTCAAGAGAGGCATGAACCATACTTGTACCAAGTATCCAAAACTGCAAGACCTCAAAGGCATGTAAAACTTGTAAGACCTTACTAAAGGCATAAACCCTATCTCAAAGTTAAGGCTATATATCGAACTTGTAAGACCCCTAAAAGGCATACCCTCGATATAGATGCCGAAACTACCTCACTCGTGACTAAAAGGCTCCGGTCAAACACAAATGACTACGCTTACAAGGCTGCACCAGGCAAACTAACGCCACTCGGGGACGCCCGACCGTCGCTACAAAATCACAGGCCTTCAATTACTTCGAATCTACTTCAAAAAGAACCGGTTAAACATGCTACCCTCGACATAGGTAAAAGAGCTTCGACCATGTCAGCTCCAAATTACAGGCTTCGAGCTACTTAGCCAACGAGCCAAACCTACCGAGGGGCTCGATCATCGCCACATAACGACTCATAATCGAGGTTTTTATCAAACCGTGGAAGAGTCAAACCAAATCTAAAAAATCCTTGACGAGGGAAAAATAAAGCCTATATAAAAGGTCATATCGACCCAAGGCGTAAGAGCCATTGTTGCCAGCCCACATAAAAGGTCGCATCGACCGAAAGCGTAAGAGACACTGTCGCCAGCTTGAAATTCAAAAAACTTGAGGGTCGAGTGAGCTCGAGCCGATACCTGACTCGGAGACTGAACCCAAAATAGTTGACCAAACATGCTTAAGAGCAAAAGTATAAGAGCTCGAA